CAAGTGCCACATCCAGTCTTTTTTCAAACACACCCAGGGATGGTGGCTCCACCACCTCCCTGGGCAGATGATTCCAGTATTTGACCTCTCTTTCTGTGAAAAACTTCCTCCCTAAGCCTAGCCTGTATCTCCCTTGGTGCAGCTTGAGGCTGTGCCCTCTTGTTCTGTCTGGAGAAAGGGACTGACCCCAACTCAGCTCAGCCACCCTTCAGGAAGCTGAAGAGAGGGATAAGGTCACCTCTGAGCCTCCTTTTCTCCAGGCTGAACACCCCCAGCTCCCTCAGTCGTTCTTCACACGGCTTGTGCTCCCAGCCCCTTCCTCCGCTGATGGCTCAGCATCATCCCTGTGGAGCCCCCAAAGTGCCAGGTGTGCTCCAGAGCCAGCCCTCGCCCTCCTGAGCCCCTGCCAGGCTGGGCAAGGGTCTCAGCCCCCCGGGGTCACCCCATGTGGGCAGGCTGTGCCCTCCAGGGCTGCTCTGCTTGGGAAGCCCACCCCAGGCAGGCCAGCAGGCAGCTCTCGGAGGTTTCTTGGCAGGAGGGTGTGGAAAATGTTGGAAAGGAGGAGTGGAGCTGAGGCAGCGTGCTCCCCACTCCCCCATCCCCACGGCTGCCCCCCAAACCTGCTGCTCCCCGTGGGGTTTCTGTGAGGAAAGGGGAGCTCTGCCAGCCTTTCAAGGGATGGGGTGGGATGGGACAGACACACTGCTTGTGGGGAAAGCCTTGGGGTCTCTGGGTTCCTGTCCCCAGTGACACAGAGCAGTGACAGAGCAGTGACAGAGCAGTGACAAGAGCAGTGACACAGATCAGTGACACAGCAGTGACACAGATCAGTGACACAGATCAGTGACACAGCAGTGACACAGATCAGTGACAGAGCAGTGACACAGCAGTGACACCTCAGAGCAGTGGCTGTGTGGGTTCCATAACCCCCGTGCACGCAGCCTGCTGCAGTGACCAGGTCAGTAACGTCCTCTTGGATCTGAGAGGCAGAGGGCTGCTATGGAAACCTGACTTGTTATTATTGTATGGGAATGAGATTTATGATTTCTCTCTTCTGCCTCAGTTTGTGATTACGCCATGGAGCAATTTTTAGCCTTGGCAAGAAGGTGGTTTAGCACAAGACCGAAGATGCAGCTTAACTCAGTGTCTGCTGCAAATCCTGAGAGCGATGCTGTGTCTGAGAGAGCTGGGCAAACTCTCCTTCTGCTGGTTTATGAGTGTCATCCTTCCTGACGTTGCTGTGGTGTCCAAAGTTTAGCAAGGATGTTTACCCAGACCTTGCAGAGTGTCTGTGGAGCCTGGGGAGGGATCAGGCTGCCCTTTGGTGTCCCGCTGATCCGAGCCTGCTTTGGGAGCCTTCCAGTCCCCGCAGGGTGGGAGCTGTGGCTGGTGCTGGGCACACTGCATGCCCTGGCTCCTTGGGGCACTCTGTCTGTACCATTTTATTTGTCTTGGCCTTGCCTTGGTGTTTCCTTGCTCTTCTTTCCCTTTTAAACAAAGCAAACCTGCTGGTGGTTTGTGTGCGCCGCGAACGCCCTCTTACACAATCACCTTCGTGGCTTTCTGGAGAATAGGGAAGAGTAATTTTGGGTTTAATCATTCAACTGACACAGTCCAAGACAGTTACCTGAACCTGAAGTGAAGCATCAGCCTCCCCAGGGGCTCTTCAGCCAGCGCTGTCCATGTTTGAGTCACCCTGAGCCTTGAGGCTCAGCCTTGGGCTTCTTTTAACCAGCATGAATCAAAACAACAACAACAACAACAGCAACAACAACAAAACCAGTCTGTTTTACTGTAGGGAAAACATCCATGAACTGTAAGGGCTGTGACTTTATCTTGTTTAAGATGTCTGTGTCAGCTCCAGGGGCATCTGCCCTGCTGGGTCTCTCGTGGTTCATTTGCCCTTTCTTGGTGAGTTTTTCACTGTGTGATGTGTGGGGACTTTGGGTGTTGGACTTACACCTGGGGTTCAGGTGAATCAACACAGGGCCTGTGCTGGGGAACTTTGGAAAAGCCCTGAACTGAGGAAGATTTAAATTGGCTAAGTAAGAAGAGATTTCTAAGAGGAAAAATCAGTACCAGTGTCAGTCCCAGCATGTGTGGGGAGTAGGCAACAATTTAATATATTTTATATATTTAATATTGAATATATTTACATATATTTACAAATATGTGCATATTAACCTGGGAAGGAGATATCTCTTGGCTGTGCACATGCAAAGAAAAGGAGAACAACCAGCACAAGCAAGTCCCATGAAGCCACCTCAGCCTTACTCTGAGTTCTCCAAAGGAATGGAGTGTTCCAACCTTGTTCTGGTCCCATAGACAAGGGAATGGCCAGCCCTGGCTGGCTGAACCCCAGCCTGTGACAGATGGAGAAATCAAACAGGAGACTTTGGGATGTGCCCTGTCCTTGTCAATGTGATGAAGAAATCAGGGGAAGAAGTCACAAGAAGTGCAGGGAAGAGCTGCTTGCCAGAGAGATGGATCATTAGAGAAAAGGGGGGGCTGTAGTAGAAGGGAAAATGCTGATTGTGAATCATCAGGTGTCCGTGCCTTTCCTGCTGTAACAGGTGGAATGGGCCAGGCTGTGTGTTTGTGCTGGCAGTGAGGTCTCTGCAATCACAGCCGTGCCCTGCTTAGCTCTGCTACTCTTTGCAGGAGCTGTGCCAGGACTGATTGGAATCCCCCAGGCAGATGTTTAGAAGGACTTTTAAAGCTGGTGGGGCTGTGGGATCAGAAACCCTCGCTTGGTCTCCAGAGAAATTGGCTTTGTTTGGAAACAAGATCCACAGTAGGATGCTGAAGTGTGTGAGATGTTTGGTACAGCAGCATTTAATGGGATCAGGAAAGGGATTCCTCCCAGTAGTATTTGCAGGTATTAAATCATTAAGAAGATTAGCAGAGTTGCAAGACCTTTTCTTTTTCTCCTCTAGACAGTTTATTCCACATAATGATGTTCTTATAAAAGGATTAGAGGCACTGGTCCTGTGAGAGAAGGGAACAGGCACTGTGGTGATCCTCCCTTTAACAGATCCCTGACAGGACCTGTAGTCTGAAGTGAGTGGAATTATCCTTCCTCTGATTCCTCTGAGAAAAATCACAGAATCATGGAGTGGTTTGGGCTGGAGAGAGAAAAATCACAGAATCATGGAGTAGTTTGGGCTGGAGGGGCCTTAAAGACCATCTCATTCAGGGACACCTTCCACTAGACCTGGTTGCTCCAGGACCTGTCCAGCCTGGCCTGGGACACTGCAGTTGAGTCTGGATTGTGTTTTTCGTTTGAAGGAGAGACTCTCTTTCCCCAGGCTGACCAGGGAAGGCAGCCTGCAGGAGCAGCAGCTCCCCGTGGGAGTGGATGTGGGTCCAGCCCGTGGCACCAGCTCTGTGCCTGCTGTGGTTCCACCAGAAGCAGACTGGGGCTCCTTGCAGTCGGCTGTGGAATGGCTGCTGTGCTCTCCTCCTCTTTCTGCTGAGTCTGGGTTGGAGGAGATGCTCTGGAGGTAAGCTGTCCTTGTCCTGGAGCACATCACAGCTGTGGATAGCCTGTGTGCCAGCACAGGGCACGAGGCTGGCTCTGGCTGGGGAGGGTGGAGGCTCAGAGCCTTCCGTGTCCTTCCCCAAGGCACCGTGGAGGTTCTCGTTGTCCCTGAGGAGGAGCACACCATGTTCTCAGCCCCTGGTGGCTCTTTCTAGAGCCCCACGTGTCCCCTGAGCTGCAGCACGAGCCCTTTGGGGCACAGCAGGCTCTGCACTTGCTGAAGGGCTGCACAGGAGCTGCACAGGAGCTGCACAGGAGCTCTTTTACAGCCAGCACAGCCAAGCCCAGGAGGGTCTGACCGAGCCAGAGGTCAGAGGTAAATTGTTCCTGTCGCTCTGCACAGGTGGAGATCAGTCCAGGCCAAGGGGAAGAGTTGAGCTGAGGGGAGCAGCGCAAGCAGGTTATCTGGAGGTCAGCTGCACCTTTCCAGGATAAGCTTGAAGCATTCTTCCAGAGCTCTTTCCAGGGATCTGTCCTTTGGTCTCCACCCCATGCCTCCAGATATGTTGCAGAGTGGATTTCTCAGCCCCTGATACTTGGCAGAAGCGTGGACAATAACTCTTCTCGGGCAGATCACGTTAAAGTTTTGGCTCTCTCCTGTCTGGAGTCCAGGTTTTCAAAGGAATGGGTAGAACTGGATGTCCAAGTCCTGCTGAACCCAGGAGATCCAGACCCTTCCTGGCTGCGGGGCCAGGCTCGTGTCATTCCAGCTGTGTCACTGCTGAGGAGTCACTTGTGTCACTTGAATCCTTGGAATTTCAAGGGGCTGTTGGATATTTTAGTGTACAGCACGTGGGTGGATCCCTGGGTGGGTCTGTTGGTCAGGGTAGGTCCAGAGGAGGACATGAGCAGGCTCCTGTGCACTGGAGAAATGTGCATCACCTGCACGTGATCTCACTCTGAGGAGTAGATTTAGGTGGGATATTGGGAAGAAATCCCTCCCTGTGAAGGTGTGGAGGCCTGGAAGTGTCCAAGACCAGGGTAGATGGTGCTTGGGGCAGCCTGGGTTAGTGGAAGGTGTCCCTGCCCATGGCAGGGGGTGGAATGGGATGGGCTTTAAGTTCCTTTCCCACCCAAGCCATTCCAGGATTCTATGAACTTTGCAGGGATCTAATGGTTTTCTGTCTCCCAAAGCTCAGGTCTGCTAGAGGGGCAGCTGAGGCCCAGGCAAGCTGCTCCTTTTCCTCTGTACCTGCTCTGGGGCCTCTGAACATCAGCGTTTTTGAAGCACAAATATTCTGACTGCATCACAGAAGACTTTCTAATGCTGAAAGGAAGCAGCCCAACCACACACATTATTAATGCCAGAAACATGCAAATGGCTTTTGTACGGGAACCAGCAGCTCTATATTGGGTTCTAATTGGGTTTTGTTTTCAGAAGGAAGATATTTAAGGTTCTATACTGAACATGCTGCAAAAACATTGAGAGCAGAGCCCTCCAACCCAAACAACCACACTGGAAAAAGGCTGGGGGAGCTGGAATTGGTGTCAGCACAGGCAGGGGGGATCAGGGAAGCCTGTCCTTTGGCCTCTTCAGGCCAGGTCCCTGTGCTCTGTCTGTCCCTGGCTCTGGGGTCTGCCCTGCCCTCTGATTTACAGCACTGAGCACCAACCAGAGCTGCTGCTTAAGGAATTCCTCGAGTGTTTCTGTTCCAGTAGGGATTTGTGGGCCTGACTTTGAGTTGTGGAGCCTTGTGCTAGAGAGATGTTTACAACTACATGGTGACTTGGATTTCTCCCATGGATTCCTGGAAACACTGTTATCTCAAGCTTCAGGAGGAACTTCTGCGCAGAGACCACCCAGGACTCAGAGCTACCTGCCACCAGAGCACCTCTGCTGCCCCTGTTCCTGCCAGGAGACCGAAATTGGGCACGGGTTGGGCTGAGCCCGCAGCACCTGGGAGGGCTGGATCAGCTGTGGAGCAGCAGGGATGGAGACATCCTCACCAGCAAAGTTTCTGGCTACACACGTGGGATCTTCAGCCTGGTGGACAGCAGAGTTCTGGTTTCTGCTGGGGGAACATCCCTCCTGAGGGCCTGCAGGATTCTCCCTGGTACTGCTGGACTCGTTTCACTCCTTCCCTTCCTGCTGCTGGTTCAGGCTGCCAAGCCTTTCCTTCCTTCCTTCCCCGGAGCTGGCTCTGCATCCACTGCTGTCGGTGCTCCTGCTTTGCTTCAGAGGCTTTTTTGAGTTTTATTTTGAACATCAGTTGCATTGTTATCCTGCCAGTTAGCGATCACTGCACGAGGAGAGGACAATGTCCCTGTTCTGTCACCTGCCCCATGGCCAGACCACCAAACCAGTTTAACCAGAAAACCAGTTTAACCAGCAGACCAGTTTAACCAGCAGACCAGTTTAACCACCAAACCAGTTTAACCAGCAGACCTGTAGGACCACAGTGGGAAGCAGCTCCTGTTGCTGCTGTGACAAGTGCTGCTTTTCAGAGGGGATGAAGAAACACCCCTGGTCCTTGTCTCTGCTGGGATTTCCTTTAGCACAAAAAAAATTGGACACCTGGAAGAAATGTGCTCCCCATGGCAGCAGTGGGAGCCTGGCTCTGTCCTGGCTCTGAGGGAGGGCAGGGGAGCTGGACAGGGGGATGTGGCTGAGCAGGGCTGGACAGGGGGATGTGGCTGGAGCAGAGCTGGACAATGGGATGTGGCTGCAGTTTAACCAGCAGACCAGTTTAACCAGCAGACCAGTTTAACCAGCAGACCAGTTTAACCACCAAACCAGTTTAACCAGCAGACCTGTAGGACCACAGTGGGAAGCAGCTCCTTTTGCTGCTGTGACAAGTGCTGCTTTTCAGAGGGGATGAAGAAACACCCCTGGTCCTTGTCTCTGCTGGGATTTCCTTTAGCACAAAAAAAAATTGGACACCTGGAAGAAATGTGCTCCCCATGGCAGCAGTGGGAGCCTGGCTCTGTCCTGGCTCTGAGGGAGGGCAGGGGAGCTGGACAGGGGGATGTGGCTGAGCAGGGCTGGACACTGGATGTGGCTGGAGCAGAACTGGACAGGGGGATGTGGCTGGAGCAGAGCTGGACAATGGGATGTGGCTGGAGAGGAACTGGACCGGGGATGGGACTAGAGCAGAGCTGGACAGGGGGATATGGATGAGCAGAGCTGGACACCGGGATGTGGCTGAGCAGAGCTGGACAGTGGGATGTGGATGAGCAGTGCTGGACACTAGATGTGTCTGGAACAGAACTGGACACTGGGATGGGACTGGAGCAGAGCTGGACAGTGGGATGTGGCTGGAGCAGAGTGGACAGTGGGATGTGGCTGAGCAGAGTGGACACTGGGGTGTGGCTGAGCAGAGTGGACACTGGGATGTGGCTGAGCCGAGCTGGACACTGGGATGTGGCGGAGCAGAACTGGACAGTGGGATGGGACTAGAGCAGAGTGGACAGGGGGATGTGGCTGGAGAGGAACTGGACAATGGGATGTGTCTGGAGCAGAGCTGGACAGTGGGATGTGGCTGAGCAGAGCTGGACAGTGAGATGTGTCTGGAACAGAACTGGACACTGGGATGGGACTGGAGCAGAGCTGGACACTGGGATGTGGCTGAGCAGAACTGGACACTGGGATGTCGATGAGCAGAGCTGGACACTGGGATGTGGCTGGAGAGGAACTGGACACTGGGATGTGGCTGAGCAGAACTGGACACTGGGATGTGGCTGAGCAGAGCTGGACACTGGGATGTGTCTGGAGCAGAGTGGACACTGGGATGTGTCTGGAGCAGAGTGGACACTGGGATGTGGCTGAGCAGGGCTGTGCTCCGGGCAGGAGCTGGCCCAGCGTTACATAACGCACAGAAACACGTTCAAGTGATTAATTTGAGGCTCTGGCAGCCGCTTCCCTGTAATAATATTTTAAACATTACTTTTCCACTGGCCCTTGCCAGCGATCGTTATTTTGCGCTGTGGAGGCTGTAAAATTTCACTTCAAGGATGGGTTTCACTCCCGTTACAGAATGTGTCTGGAATGTGCAGATGTTTCCTTCGGGGAATAGGGAGCCAATGGGCTCTAACACATCAGCCCTGCGGGGAGGACTCAACGTGCTGAGCAGCCCTATTCACAAAATCCCAAACAAACACACACAGAGCCCGTGAGCTGCGCCCGCACCGGGCACGTGGCTCCCGGCCCTGGGCATGGAAACCCGGGCTCTGCTGGAGCTCAGGAAGGTTCTGGGCTGGGGTGGTCACAGAGGGTCCCTCGGGGGGTCTTACACAGTCCCACATGCTCCTGATTTCTGGAGGAGTCGTGCCAGCTCTGGCTGACTGGGCAGATAAGGTGGCTTGCAATGACGCGGTCATTCCAAGCCCAAACCATTCCGGGGTTCTGTTGGTTTTGAACGGGAAGAGGGCAGGGTTAGATGGGATATTGGGAAGAAATCCTTGACTCAGAGGGTGGCAAGGCCCTGGCACAGGTTGCCCATCCCTGGAAGTGTCCAAGGCCAGGTTGGACAGGGCTTGGAGCACCCTGGGGTAGAGGAAGGTGTTGGGATTGGAGCTGGATGAGCTTTGAGGTCCCTTCCAACCCAAACCATTCTGGGGTTCCATCGTTAACCTCCCACAGGTATCCAAGGGTTGTGCATGTCAAGGACAAAGCAGCTGCTGTGGATGTGCCAGAATTAGAGAAAATGGGAAAATGGGATTTAATTGCACAAAAAATAGTTTGCATGGAGAGCGGAGAAGACTGAAAATTGCTTTTTGTGGAACAGCTTCAAATTAGGGAGCTTCAAATTAAGGCTGTAACCATCCCTGAGGGATATGTGGTAGGGCTGGTCCTCTTTTAATAGGATGATACAGCAGAGCATTAATTTTTTTACTTCTCTAATTTTCTCTTTCCTTATCATCTTCACTGCAAAGAAGGGGAGAAAAAAGCATTGGGGCATCAGGTCCTTAAAGAGGAACCCTTAAAGGGTCAGTCATGGACACAGGGAAAGCTGCAGAGGGACTTGGGAGGACAGGGGGGACAGGACGAGGGGGAAAGGCTTCACACCAGCACAGGGAGGGTTAGGTGAGATACTGGGGAGAAATTCTTCCTGTGAGGGTGGTGGAACACTTCCAGGGCACATGTTGCCCAGAGAAGCTGTGGATGCTCAAAACTCTGCCTCTGGCATTGTGAGAGCCTGAATGAGAAGTGGAAGCTCTTACAGAAAATAAACATACAAGATGGGAAAGAGAAATGTTGGTTGTGATGAGCGTGGGCTCAGCTCAGGGCCATTGAACACTGATGAGCAAAAGAATCTTAAGGAAAAGTCTCTGTCCAGCAAGGCTGAGAAGAGTAAAGAGTTTTTCAAGTATATTGGGAATTAAAGGAGTTGGGTGGTACTGGTCTGTTAATAGATGAACGTGGTCAAATTATCAATGAAGATACAGAAAAGGCAGCTCAGTAAATATTTCTGTTCTCTATTTGGAAAAAAGCCAGGTGATGTATTTGTATCATATGAGGATGATGAAACACTTTCCACTCCAACAGTAACCGAGGAGGATGTTAAACAGCTGCTATTAATGTTAGACCTTCTTAAACCAGCAAGTTCAGATATTTTGCATCCAAGAATTTTAAAAGATCTGGCTGAAGAGTCCTCTGGGCTATTAATGTTCGCTTTTAATGGATTTTTGGGCCTTAGGGAGATTCCCAGGGACTGGATCAAAACAAACATGGTGCCAGTGTTAACAGAAGGTAAATGGGGTGGTACAAACATTTATTAGCCCAGTGTCCTGATTTTCTGTCCCAGGGAGAAAGAATGCTTTGCCTAGCTTGGCATTAGCTAAAAATTAAAGGGGATGGTGTAATTAGTGGCAGTCAACATGGAAAATCCACTTATGGAAAATACATCTCCCAAACCAAAGTTGCTTTTAAGCAACTTTGCAGACGGAGGAGCAGAAGATGCTGACGTTGATGTAATACACATCTGATTTCTGCAAGAAGTCAGAATTTGAATTCTGAGTCAAGTTTTTGAGTTTGACTCAGTGTCACATGTATTTGTGACATTGGAATGGAAAAAGTCAACGCTACAGATGTTAGAGGGATTAAACATTGGCTTCAGAATGTTTCATAGAACATAGACAGACTTGACCCAAACGATTGTTTGGGTTGGAAAACAGCTCAAGGCCTTCCAGTTCCAACCCCCTGCCATGGGAAGGGACACTTCCCACCAGATCAGTTTGCTGCAACCCAAACCTTTCAATGATTCTCAGTCTTTCTGTGAGATGGGAGCATCCTCTGGCAGGCTGGGAGCTCCTGCTCGGGCTTGGTGCAGGAATAGCTGTGTGGAACCTGAGTGGGACCTGGTGATTTGCAGTGTTGGAGCTGTTGGGGTGAGCCATGGAGAGCAGCCCTAACATCAGGGCTGCAGGGGAAGCACCCCTGGGTTGTGCTGCAGCCGTGGTTTGCCCGGGGCTGGGGGTCTGAACGTGCTGCACTTTTGTGCTTTTTGCTCCCAGCCCTCCTGCTCTGGGGGTTTTCTGTCACAGGCAGTGGCTGTGAGCTCAGGGCTGTGCTCAGCATCACAGAGCAGCACCAAGTTTACTTTGGGCTATTTTTAAACGTATCAAGTACTAATCTGATGGCCTCAAATCCGTGAGTTTTCCCTCTGGGAGGAAGAAAGTAAGTCAGGAGGCTCATCAGCTCTCCAGCACTGGCTGTGCTGCAAAATCCTGCTCAGAGTTTGTCTCCATTGCTGACAACACTCTGCCAGGCCTGGACCTGAGTGGGTTTTCCTTTCTCTTGTCCTTTTCCCCATCAGTGTTTCCAGGGAACATCCCATGCTGGAGCTGAAGGATGTTGGTGAGAGCCTGAAACAGGGAGCCTCTTAAATGAAATGTTGGTGGAACTTATTGGAGGTGAAAATCAAGTGACAGACAGGGCTAAAATAGACACAGAACTGTTTTTCCTCAGCAACCACCCAGGAACCTGGAAAATTGGAGGTGTTGGAGGGGGCTGTTAGCTAAAAGTTGAACAGATTGGGACTGTCAGCTGTGAAGGGGAAAGGTTTGGGTGTTCCCTGCCCTGGGAAGGGACAGGGGCAGTGGGAGGTTGTGTCTG